CGTCCACAAAGAAAACGTCAGCTAAAAAAGAAAAGTTTCGCGCTAAGAGTTCCGTGGAAACTCACTGAGGAAGACGTCCGGGTTGGCTTCAGCTATTTTCCAGAATATCGGTGAGATTTCTTCGCTGAAATCGAGAATTAGTCGCTTTTTGTAACGCAAGATCTATAGATATAAAAATCTTCAAAACGTACCGCTTGCGGAGGATCTCCCTTTTCTCCCCTTTTATCACCTCCACATTATAAAGCACGAACTAAAAATGGTGAATAACCGGCCGGACAAAGAAAAACTACCCCAATGTTGTCGGGAGTTTTGACGGGAAAGTGGTTGCTGAAGAGCCGGATCGACGAGCAGACCTTCGGGTTGACACCGCCTTCCGGACGCCTGCAGAATTGGAGCGCCTCGGACTGAAACAATAAGCGTAGAACTTAGCAACAATGTAGAATGCTGAATAACAGAAATTCGGTTTTATTGCTAAGAATCCACCACCCTTTCCGCTAACGAATCAGAACTCCCAAAAACCGCTAAAAAAATACCAAATACGGTAAGAGTTCACTTTACCCCCCACAGCCTAAGGGTCTCAAAGTTTTCGCTAATTTCGCAATTTTTTCGGGATTTTCTTAAAGACCATCGATAGAGCGCCAAAAAATATACAAAAAGTTGAAATTTCAGCCCACAATAATGTAAAATAAAAAATTTATAGCCAAAACCTTCCGGCTGGGGGGTTAAGTCAACCGTAGCCAAAAATAGACTAAAAACACTAGAAGTTTTGTCAGGTAAATACAGGCCAGACAGCTAACACTCCAAAGCCCAACAACCCCACTGGATGAACGTTTCTCGACTGCTGTCCAAGCGGGCGAGCTGCTGAACTTGTGGAGCCAGAAGCCGAGGGCAAAGTGCTAAAAGTTGTTTTTTAAAGCCGGAAAATCTTACCCCCGCCCAGAGTCGTTTAGCGCCACCTGGGCCAACCGCTCGGTGATGTTGGTTGAATGCCCTGAAGAGGAACCGTGGCTCGACGCGCGACTGCGGGCAGGGCTTGATGGGTTTGGCAGATCTGAAGTAGCGGTATTGGCGGATGGAATCATGGGAATGGACCTGGATTCGATATGTCCGAAGATGAGCTGGAAGATGGCGTCGCCGACATTTGATCTGAAATGAGCAGGTGACGAAAAGAGGGAGAGAGAGAGAGAGGGACAGAGAGAGACAGAGATAGAGAGAGAGAGAGAGAGAGAGAGAGAGAGAGAGGACAGCGGGAGAGACTCTAAGAGAAGAGAGAGAGGGAGAAAGAGAGAGAGAGAGAGAGAGAGAGAGAGAGAGAGAGAGAGAGAGAGAAGCGCAGGAGAGCATTGAGTAATTGCTCAGAATTACAAGCTCTGTCGAATGGACTAGTGTCAAAAGCGAATGCATAAGTTTTGGCCCGGATTTTCCCGCGGATCTTTGGCGAGCCATTTTTACCATCTGCTATAGGTCAGCCGGAAAATGCCCCGGGCCAGCGATAAGCTTTCGAGTCATTAATGGATGTCTTTGAATCCCAAATCATCGAAAAACAAAATGAAAAATGTCAATAACAATGATTGTAAAAGATAAATGCATATGGTTGCGAAAAATTTATTTACTGTAATAATGGCAATTATTAAACATGTATTCAAACTAATCGAAATTTAAGCAAAAAGTTATTCAGTGGAGGCCATCTACTCAAATGATGAATACTTTATATTACCCATATCTCGATAATCTCGCTATCAGAAACCGAAATTTAATTTTATTTACCATATCACTCACTGAAAGTTTTAGAAAATGCATAACCCAGACATACCAAGATGATAGCTTGCGCATCACCGTAAAATCATTATTCTGTACGATTTTAACCGCTGAATAATCGTCAAGTTTTGAAATAGGTAGAGAATAACGGCTCGAAGCGAATATACAAAAAAACTTATTTTTACGCTTTAAGGTTAGTCAGTCCATATTTGATCGTGAACAAAAAAGAGAGCAAGAATATGAGAGCCGTATTGGACTGCGAAACAATTCCTTTTTAATTTAATTTTCGTTTTTTGTTTTAGTAAATTAATAATTGTTACATTGCTAAAATTAAATCCATAAATTTTGTAAAATTTTGTTTTTATGGCAAAACGCTTCTCGAAAGTATAGAAAGAAGAGGGTGGTTAAAGCCAAAAGTAACGCAAAACCACTCTTTCTAGGCAATACAATCTTACGCATAGATTAAGCCAAGTGGAGGTTCGATGTAATATGATCAGTAGCGATAGCCCTTTGTCTAAACCGTTGTGTCACCCCCCATCGGGGCCCTAGGCGCCAAAGACCTACAGTCACAGGGTGCCGCAAAGTTCACAAATGCCAAGTCATCCCTCCCATCCCCCCACCCCTGTCAAAACTCGCAAAATCATTGCGTGCGCCAAGGCAATCGATCTCAACCTCGCACCTTCCTTTGGGGTGGGCAGATCGCTGAAACAGCACCATTTGGTGCTAGGTAAGCTGTCTCGACGCGAAAATGATAATACACTGCCCAAAAAGCAAAACCGAATTTGGTTTTGAACGCGTCAAGTACCAGAAAACTTTTATTTACTTGTAGATGAAGACACGGTTAGTACTGATAAGAAGTATATACTTGGTTTACCGCGGGGTATATGCTTAAATGCCGGGCCTCTTGCCCTATAGGTCATGGGGCTACACCTACACATACTTCACAGCCGCGTAGGCCGGTTGGGCGTCGGTATCTCAAAAATCATAGCTCCCCGCGCAAAACGGATTCAAAATAGGGGCCCAGCACAAGAAAAAATCGATCTAGGGAGATGCAAAACTATGCTCACGCCTGGCTTTAGGAAGTAGCGGGCTAGCAGAGTTTCTTTGGGAAGGGGGAGGCTAGCAGAGATTCTTTGGAAGGGGGAGGCTAGCAGAGATTCTTTGGGAAGGGGGAGGCTAGCAGAGATTCTTTGGGAAGGGGAGGCTAGCAGAGATTCTTTGGGAAGGGGAGGCTAGCAGAGATTCTTTGGGAAGGGGGAGGCTAGCAGAGATTTTTTGGAAAGGGGTAGGCTTGCAGAGATTCTTTAGGAAAGGGTTATCTGGCAAAGATTCTTCCGGAAATGACAGGCTAGCAGAGATCATGTAGGAAAGAACCAGTTAGCAGAGATTCTCTAGGAAAGGGCAGGCTAGCCGAGATGCTCCAGGAAGGGATGTCTCGCTACGGCCACAGGCCATAACATGTTAGTTCTATCATAAGACACTTTAGACCACTGTAACGTCCCTTACAGGATGGGGTAGGACTAGCAGAAATGCCCTGAGAAATGCCAGGCTAGCCGAGATCGCTTGGAAATAGGTGGAGCCAGCTGACTGAAACCATTTGGGAATTTTTCCTTGACAGTATCTCAAAACGAGAGAACCAGAACCTGACCGGCCACCACGTTTTGAATTTGCAACCCGGAGTCGAATCAATGCGACGAGGCTTTTTGAGGATGATTCATTCCCCATCTGTACCCCCACCCCGTACCCCTTTTACCTCGACCTCGTACTCCTTTTGTACCCCCACCCCGTACTCCTTTTTACCCCCATGGGGCCCCCATGTACAGGGTGTCCCAAAAACGAACCTTCTGGCGTTTCGCCGTGTTACATCCAATCAACCCCAAATTTGGACCAGAAGTGTATCAGATCCTAAATAACAACAATCCTGACTTATAGCCCCGTAGCCATAGTAGTTCTCGAGTTATAACGAAAATACTGTTTCCCCGCAATTCTAAGCATTTTTTTCGGCTCTTTTTGGACTTTGCATCGATTTGCATCGACTTCCGGCTGCGAATCCCGAATTTTGCTTAAGATCTTGGGTAATTTTTCGTTGTAAAAATCGTTTAACTCGAAGTTTATTTGGTTAATTTTAGTCCGGAAAAAATTTCTTAAGGTAAAGAAGGCCTACCGGATCATTTTCACTTAATGTTTAGGGGGTCTAATCCCACGAAAACCCTATGAAAAATTGAAAATCAAGTTTGTTTTGTTATAACTCGAGAACTACTATAGCTACGGGGCTATAAGTCAGGATTGTTGTTATTTAGAGCCTGATACAGGTTGGCGGTCACGATTTCGAAAATCACCATTTCGAAAATCACCATTTCGAAAATCACCATTTCGAAAAATCACGATTTCGATAAACACGATTTCGAAAGTCACCATTTCGAAAAGACACGATTTCGAAAAGACACCATTTCGAAAATCACCATTTCGAAAAGTCACGATTTCGAAAATCACCATTTCGAAAATCACCATTTCGAAAATTACCATTTGGGAAACACAGGATTTAGCAATAGCCCATTTCCCAGTCGCAGAAAAAAATGATTTTCGTTGGCTGGTTCGAGGTTCTGGGGTCTATTTTTCCACTGGAGATATGATTAATTTCATTAAAGACACCACTAAAACAATTTCTATTACATCACTAATCATATCCGAGAGAAATCGTGGTTTTTCGACACTGCAATTTTTATGCCTGTTTGAAGACCGGGTCTTTTCGAACTGGGGATTTTCGAAATCGTGTCTTTTCGAAATGGTGTCTTTTCGAAATGATGACTTTCGAAATGGTGTTTTTCGAAATCGTGATTTTTCGAAATGGTGATTTTCGAAATGGTGATTTTCGAAATCGTGACAGGGAATCCCTGATACACCTCCGGTCCAAATTTGGGGCTGATTTAATGTAACACGACAAAATGCCAGATGGTTCGTTTTTTTGGGACACCCTTGATATTGCCATAGTATATTGCCTTGCATTATCGGTCCGCCATATCCTTCTCACCGCACTACAAACGAAGTGGGTGGTCTGGGAATCCGACAGAAGACTTCCGGATCGTGCTGTGAGGCTGCGAGAGAACGATGTTCCCGCATCGTAGAACTTCCAAGGCTGTTTTCGGTGTGTGATACAGCATGTAGCATAGTTATAAAAACTTTCGAAAATACATAGCTTTATTGCAAAAAGTAATTTTTGGCCAACTACTTGCTAAGCCTCAAATTTTCGGGAGCACCTTCTTGCAGAGACCGCTGCGGAGGGTGGTGAAGCCCTAAAAACAAATTCCAGCTAAAAAATTACTCAAGAGATCGATCAAGCCTTTTATAAAAATTTAATTGAAATTCAACGTAAATTAACCTTAATATCATCCCATTTTCGCAGCGTCTCCGGCGCGTCGTGCTGGATCGGGTTCGCGTACATCTGAAAGGGCGGCTAGCAGAGGTTCTTTGGGAAACTCACGAAATTTTTCGGAAAAAAGACAAAGCCTAGGGAAATTTTTCTAAAACGCATTAAATTAGTATCTATGCTAAAAAGTCTTAAAAACCGCCTATTAAATTACCATAACACCATAAACCCCGGGGCCCGGGTTCGGCTCGCCGTCGAGGAAGTTTTGATAGTACAGCACCGAGCCATCGGTCCACGACATGTTCTAAATTTGCGAAATTTGCTTAAGCTGAAGATTTATATAAATAGCTAATTTGCATAATTGCACTTAACGAACCATATTGTCGATTTTCAACCCGATCCACGCCAAATCCTGCCAACTCTTCAGATATGGGATTTCCATCAGCACTGAAAGGGCAACATTGGGGCAGGCTAGCAGAGATCATTGAGGAAACGAGGGCAGACTAGCAGAGATCTTTGAGTAATCGAGGGCAGGCTAGCAGAGATTCTTCTGGAACTTACTAGATGCAAAGCGATTCTCGGTATTCGAGTGAATCGAGGCGAGGTGGGCACCGTATTGTTGACAAGCTTCTTCGGCACCCATGAAACTGTAGGAGCCGTCGGGAAGCTAAACATAAAAATTAATCAGGTCCAGCAGGGCAAACGAGCAGAAATTCTTTCGGAAAATTTGGTATTAATGGCGCAGCTTACCATGAAATAGCAGGAGCGCGTTTTAGGGAACAGTGTCCAGCCGGCAGGACAATCCGAACCGCTCTGGGCTTCGTGGAGGCAGTGGGAGAGGGCGTTATACTCGAGGGCGCATACTTCTGAAATGCAGAGTGGATAGGTCGACTCCTAAGCCGAAGCCTGAGCCCAAGCACAAGCTTAAGCCTAAGTCTAAGCCCAAACCCAAGCCTAAGCCTCAGCCTAAGCATGGCATACGCCCAAGCGTAAGCCTAAGCCCAAACCTCCTAAGTCTAAGCCTAATACCCACCGCCTTCCTCCGCATACACCAGATTCAACCCAACGAGCAATAACGTCAAGAGCAGCTTCATTTGTGCGTAGCTGAACTTTTAGCGGAATATGCCCTAAGGCAAAACGGGATGGCAGACTGCTGTGACGTTGCCGTGGATTTTGGAGGGGACAGCCACGCCCTTCTATCAAACCTCCCAAAGAAGGTTTTGAAAAAAGTGAAGGGCCCCATCCTTTTCAGGCATCACAATAGACCCTAGGGCCCTATTTTTGGGTGGGAGAGAGAGAGCGAGAGAGAGAGGGGGAGGGAGAGAGAGAGAATGCAAAAGCCATGATGGGTTTAGATAGAGGATCTGGGCTGAGCCCATAATCCGCGCGTTTTGATGGACTGCTGGCGTTCTTCTGGAGCTTTGAAACGTTTCTTTAGAAAGAAATAACCTATCCATTTCGAAATTGGTGACATTTCAATTTTCATTTCGAAGACAAAACAATTCGAAAATATATTTCGCGTTCTCTCTCTACCTCGAGCTCAGTCTGTCCACTCTCTCTCTCTCTCTCTCTCTCTCTCTCTCTCTCTCTCTCTCTCTCTCTCTCTCTTTCTCTCTCTCCTCTCTCTCTGTCTCACTCACTCTCTCTCTCTTCTCTCCTCTCTCTCTCTCTCTCTCTCTCTCTCTCTCTCTATCTCTGTCTCTTTCTTTCTCTCCCCGCCTCTCTCTTTCTCTCTCTTTCTCTCTCTCTCACTCTCTCACTCTCTCTGACTCTCTCTCACTCTCTCACTCTCTCATTCTCTCCCTCACTCTCCCTTTCTCTCTCGCTCTCTCTCGCTCTTTTCCTCTCCAACCATTTATTTCCAAATCTCACCTATTTTGCAACACACTTGAGTCCCTTTCAGATTTATCTTTTTTCGCAGCGCCTCTCGTAGATAAACTTATTGCTCGGGGCGACGTAGGCCACTTGGGCCCTTTCTTAAGACCCAAAACGGGCCCTTTCGCCACCACCACCATAGCCACAAAAAATATTTATTAGGAAATCCGGGCAGGCGCATCTCCCTCTCTTCCTCTCTCTCTCTCTCTCTCTCTCTCTCTCTCTCTCTCTCTCTCGCTCTCTCTCTCTCCCGTTTTTAGGCATTGAGATAGGGGGCTGAGTAGAAGATGACGAAGATTGATGTGCAAAGGAAGGAGGAGAACACCACTAGGCACAGGCGATCCAAGCACATGGCAGCGAATTTCCATTCCTCCTGAAAATATAGTGTTATTTAAGCCCAAGCCCAAACCTAAGTCGGAGCGTTAGCCTAACGCTAAGCCTGGCCTAGTGCCTGCTTGGCTCTAAGCCTGAGCATAAGCCTAAGCCTAAGTCTAAGCCTAAGCCTACTCTACTTACCATCACTTCCTGCAGCTGACTATTCTTCTCAATCTCGCCCCGTATTCGCTTCAGCTGCGCATTAATGGCAGCAAAGTACTCGTAGACTTTGATAGCGTACTCCCCCTCCTCGCTTCCTGCAAAAATTGAGACTCTATAATTGTACTAATGACCCTACGCTGTTCGCTGCTCGTCTCGACGCATTTCTTCAGATACTTCTCCAACTGCACGCTACGCCGAGATTCGATAGATGCCTGTCTGTTGGGCGTGTAAAAGATGCCGTCGCCGACCTGGAGATGGTTGTTTGGCGTTTTAAAGGGATCGGCAAGGCTGGCTGGATTCTGGATTTTCCGGTTTTAAAGGGGCTCGAAGTAAAATTGACGTATGCGGGGGAATGAACCTAGCAGTCAAAAACGCATGGATCACTGCCGAGCAGCGCCAGAAAAGTGATTTCGTTACAAAAAAGTAAACGTAAAATATATGAGTAAAACCGAAATGCGAGCGAAAAAGACTTTTTGAGTGGGCGGCGATTACATGTCGTAATGCCTTGTAAGGCATCCGATCTCTCGATCTCGGTGATTCTCTGCTCAATTTCATAATTAATTTTCAAAATTGAATTAATTAAAAAGTCTAGAATCATTAGAATTCGTTGAGGAAACCAGCGTGGCTTCAGAATTTTTAAATTCAGGCGTTTTCATGCCCCAACGGGGGCAAAAGATCATGCGGCGCAGTCGCGTTGCGGTCGCATCTGGTCCTTTGCCAGAAATCAACGCAGGGGGCACGCAAATTTCGGAGCCCATTTCAACGAGTCAACGGCATTTTTCAACGCATACAGCATTTTAAAAGTTTGGAAAAAAGCTTATCGGATATTTTCCACGTTTTTTGATTTTTTCTGACTGGAGAGATACGATGATGCCTGTAAGAGACCTTTAAGTCCTCATGCGTAGGCCTACCTTCCGTTCCAACAACAGTTTTTCCGTCGGAACATCACAGAGGACATCCAGTATCGTTTCGGGCTGCTCGAACGAGGTGCCCGGCTCGGTGATGGTCTGCGAGGTGCGGTCCGGCTCGGAAGTGCCCTGAAAGAGTCTTTAAAGAATGCAAAATACCATAAAAATCTTTAATGGCACTTTGAAAGCATGTTTGAGCGGGCGAAAATCGCATTAATATATGGTTTATGGTTAAATTGTAGTAACCGACCTCCTCGACCTCCTTCAAGACGTCGTCCGGCTCGGAGTGGCCACATTTGAATCGATGGCCGGGGCGGTACATCATCAAGAGCCACGGTAACCACTCGAGGAACAGCTTTCGCATCTGAAAAACTTGCCGAAGCGATAGAGAGATGGAGAGAGAGAGAGAGAGAGAGAGAGAGATGGAGAGAGATACTCACCCCGCTGGTCATCTGATGATTTGCCGGCTGGCGATACCGCAGCGACAATACAGTAATCGTAAACGCCGTCGAGCACGAGAGAATCACAGTCACGGTTGAGAAAAATATACCTTAAGTCGTATTTTTAATGCTGAATTTTTTTCTGCTCGTTCGCCAGAAAAAGCCTTCCAAAACGCACCTATTAACGGTAGGGCTTCGGAGGTATTTGGTGTCATCTCGGAGAGTACCGTCAAGAAGAAGCAGACCGAGAGCAGGATGGTCGTTTCTAAAAGGTAGATCGTGGATCCTACGCCAGCCTAAGACAGCCTAAGCCTACGCGCAAAGCTAAGACTAAGCTCAAGCTTAAGCCTAAGCCTGCCTAAGCCTGCCTAAACCTAACAAGGAGTGCTTTTTTTGAGTCATCTGCAAAACCTTACGAGACCTAGCTCATTCGATAGAGAATTCGATTCTGAACAAAACCCCGTTGTTCTTTTTTGCAGAATGGCTATCCCTGATTTTATAAAATTAAAATACTAGTGACCGTCCCTTACCATGAGTGCCTTTCGAGCCAAAAGAGAGGCTTTTGGGTGCAGTTTTACAATTTTATAAAATCAGGGATAGCCATTCTGCAAAAAAAGAACAACGGGGTTTTGTTCAGAATCGAATTCTCTATCGAATGAGCTAGGTCTCGTAAGGTTTTACCGATTACTCAAAAAAAGCACTCCTTGTAAGCCTAAGCCTGACCTAAGTCCAAACCTTAGCCTAAGCCTTAGTCTGAGCCTAAGCTTAAGCCTAAGTCTGAGCAACTTAAACAAAATCTCTCTCACGATATCCAATCTTCTCGGCCATATCGTGGGCGGGCAAGCAGAAGCACATCAACGTCATCATGGCGATGAGCAGCGAGGGATGATCAGGTTGAAGGCATAGAACAGCGTTCTCCTCTGAAAAGTATAAAATATGGCATATGCATAGGTATAGGTAACCAAGATAGGTATATCATACCTTAATGTACAGATAGAACTTGATGGTTGGGTACGGTTCGTCGCAACATGCGTAGTACATCGTCTCCCGGATTGCGGGTGTATCTGAAATTCCGCACTATCCATGGATAGTAAGTCAGTATCTGACGCCACGTCAGTAAGCTACAGAACGATACTACTTTACGCGATATCAGTACCTTACAGTACGACACTACGCTAAGTACACTTTCACCATACCCACAAGCAGCCATTCGCCGTTGCTGACGTACGTCGACGTGTCGATTGATTCACCTGCAATAAAAGAGCTTTTAGGATTTAGACTTAGGCTTAGGCTTAGGCTTAAGGTAGGATTAGACTTTGGCTTAGGCTTAGACTTAGGCCTAGGCTTGAGCTTGGGTATAGGCTTAGGCTGAGGGTTTTGAGCTATCGTACCTGAATCCGTCGTATCGATCAGCAAATCTATGGAATTCCCGTGGTGGGACCAGGAGCCGAATTTCATGAAGCACGTTTGTGAATCGAACGGGAACCATGTGATGTCGATCTGAAAGGTACAGTAGGCTAGGTTAGGATACGCTTCGCCAATATAGGGGTACGGTAGTGTACACGGCTCTACGCGAGCTTACGCAACGCTACGCAGGGGTAGGCTATGGTGTGCAAATGGACCTTACATTACAGTAGGGTTCGTTAGAATAGCTTACAGTTATGTACAGGACAACAGTCTGTGACTACGCTAGGATACGATAAAGTACGTTACAGTAGCTATGTTACCGTGATGGAGCTTGGAGTACGCTACGATACGGTCATGCAAGCTTCGCTAGGATACGGTGGAGTACGTTGGAATCCGCTGGAGTACGCAAAGATACGATTGACGCTGCTGTATACGCTGTATATTACAAATCCTAAGTGGAAGCGAAGTTATGAAGGATACGAGAATAGACGCAAGATAACGCTAGGTTACGCTAGGATACGGTAGAGTACAACGGCCTACGGTGAGTTTCAATACCCTCAAAACTAACCTTGCAAGTGGCCTTGAAGATCCCAGGCGGTACCCATTGTACCTCCCCGGTGTTGCTCACCACCATGTTGCTCATAAACATCGAGTCAAACTGATCGGCCGCGCTAAAAGGTGTTTAATACGGAATTCTTGGAAGTATACCTATTATAAAGCAATACATCCGGTCTCCAGAGTGGCCCGCCATCTTCGCTGGTCGCGAAGCGCACCGAAGTGATGTTGTCGAAACGGCTGGGGCTCCATCGGAGTCTGTAGTCTTTCCATTTCTAGAGGGAATTGGGTTAAAGGGACAGTGACATCAGGAAATGGAGAAAACGAGGGCAGGCTAGCAAAGACAATTTCGGAATTCGAAAAACCCACAAATTGCAACCATGCATTCAGCTCGATCAGCTGATCCTTCTCGTTGACGTCGATGATCTGCTGCAGAAACACCTTCATCGAGACGTTCAGAGGATTCTGTGGAACCCGCACCGGTCGCACCAGGTAGTTGTACTTGGCTTGAAGCGCTCTAAAAAGAAATTAGGCTATTCGTAATCGACGGATTCGAAAAGCACCATAAGTTAGCTTTATAATTTTTAATCTTGGCATCTTTTAAAATTTTGGGAAAAGTTTTTAAAAACTTTTAACTAATTTTTTACGATATTTCTGAGACATTTTTAAATTTCCAAATTTGCCCATAACTTACTTACCTGTACAAATCACTTTCCCGTTTACTGGCATCGATCCCTGAGTGGTGGGCAAGGTAAAGCAAAAACAGAGAAAGAAGCATTTTATTTGATTTGTTGTATCGCTAGGATTACGGTAGTGCCGAATACAGGTTCATAGTGCACTATTGGAAAATCCGAGGGGGCCGAAGTGTATTGGGGGGTATTGGAAATGGTTGTAGATCGGAATAGGGGGGAGTATAGAGAAGAGAAAAGAAGAGAAGGGCCCTCTATGCCCTCTGAGTTCTTCTTGCTTCTTCCTGAGAGCACAACCCCATGGCAAACATTTCGGGATTCGGGGGGGTGGAAGAAAGGAAAAGAAGGATACACAGAACAGACTGTAAAGAGGGGAAAAGGCAGTGGGTATCCAGTCTAAGCCCAAGCCTAAGCTTAACCTAAGCTTAAGCCTAACCCAAATCCGAAGCCTAAGCCTAAGCCGATGCCTAAGCGAAGTTCAATCCTAAGCCTAAGCCAGGATAAGGCTAAGCCTAACAAGGAGTCGTTTTTAGGTGATATTGGAGTTTTTGAACGAGACCTAGCTAGTTCGATAGAGAAAAAAATTCTGAGCAAGATGTCATTTTCCAAATCTGCTAATCGTGTATTGTATTCGATAAAAATTAATTTTAATGAAAAAATTCCGTGGCGCCACGCGGGCACAGATGGATCAGGCCCGGGACATAGGCCGCAATGTGAACCAGCATCCGCATGAGAAGGTGACCTAGTGGATAGTCCAGGCGCCTATCAAACTTTTGCAGATTTATGCGCGAGGTTCGGAACCTTTTTTGATTAGCTGTTTTGCTTTTTGGTTTTTAACGCTATTGAGGCCATATTTGGCATCACAGAGCAAAAAGCAAAAGAGTTTCACTAGCTAGGAGTCGAACCCGCAGGCAAAAAAGATAAAACTTATGAAGCAAGTGCACGACCAATATGCCACGCGATCATGGTGGTTCAGGGGTCCAAAGGGGGCTATGTTCACGCGCACCCCCCGAGCCAAACTTGCGGATCAGCTGAGAAATGATGGCGAAATTAATGATTTTCAAATTAATTTTTATCGAATACAATACATGGTTAGCAGATTTGGAAAACGACATCTTGCTCAGAATTTTTTTCTCTATCGAACTAGCTAGGTCTCGTTCAAAAACTCCAATATCACCTAAAAACGACTCCTTGTAAGTTTGGCGACTGTAGGAGGCTTAAGCCTACGCCAAGCCGACGCCTAAGCTAAGTCTAAGCTAAGCCTAAGCTAAGCTAAGCTTAAATGTAAGCCTGGGCTTAAGAATAAGCCTAAGCCCAAGACAAATCCCAAGTTAAGCCTAAGCGTAAGCCAAAACCGAAGCCTAATCCTAAGACTATGCCTAAGCCAGGGTAAAGTTAAGTCGAGACGAAGCCTAAGACTAAGCCTGATCGAAGCCTTAGCCGGACTCTAAGCCTAAGCCAAAGCAATGCCCAAGCCAAGCTAAGCCATGGCCTCGGCGAAGCCTAGGCCAAATCTAAATTAAACTTAAGCTAAGGTTAAATTAAGCCTAATAACCCCCCTAAGCCTGGGCCTAGGCCTAAGCCTCACCTAACTAGGGAATGGTTTCGGGCGGACATCGGACCTAGATATGTGAGTATGTGCATCTTGTAGATCTCGACGAGACGAATCGATTGATGTAACTTTTAGCTGCCAACGCCTTTAAATAAAAAAGTTATAACGATTTAAAGTTTGCTGGCATGGCTTCATAAGCCCTCCCTGCAACCCCGTCACCGTGGTCCAGTGGTCTAGTGGTCTAGTAGTCAGCGTCTGGGGAATCTAACGAGGGTTCGAACCCGCTCACGATTTTTATTTTTTGCTTTTTTGTCCGAAGCTTCCTCATTGCATTCTGAAGGCCGTAAAAAACTTTTTGTGCATTATTTATACACAAAGAAACGCTCCAGCAATAATACCGAAATTTTTTTGCGAAAATTTGGAAATTGGTAAACAACGTAACCATAGTAGGGCAAGTTCAAGAGAAAATAAAATATTTGTCATGGAACTTGGGGTACGCTACAACATTGTAAGAAACGTGACCACCATTTTGACCGCTCCTCCAAAATATTTTCGATGCATGAGCCAGGCACCAGCCAACAGGATCAAAAAATTAATTTTTCACCCGAAGCTGTATTATTGCTGGAGCGTTTCTTTGTGTATAAATAATGCACAAAAAGTTTTTTACGGCCTTCAGAATGCAATGAGGAAGCTTCGGACAAAAAAGCAAAAAATAAAAATCGTGAGCGGGTTCGAACCCTCGTTAGATTCCCCAGACGCTGACTACTAGACCACTAGACCACTGGACCACGGTGACGGGGTTGCAGGGAGGGCTTATGAAGCCATGCCAGCAAACTTTAAATCGTTATAACTTTTTTATTTAAAGGCGTTGGCAGCTAAAAGTTACATCAATCGATTCGTCTCGTCGAGATCTACAAGATGCACATACTCACATATCTAGGTCCGATGTCCGCCCGAAACCATTCCCTAGTAAGCCTGATAACTACGCAACTAAGCACCTAAGCCTAAACCTAACAAGGAGTCGCTTTTAGGTGCTTTTGGAGTTTCACGACGGGACCTAGCTAGTTCGATAGAGAAAAAAATTCTGAACACCATTCCATTTTCAAAAAGTGCTGATCGATAAAGGAATTTTAGAAAAATTTAATTTAAAGTTCGCGCTTATTTTCTCGTTTTCGGATCGATTTCCACGGTTCAAGTCGTTTTCCGGCCCGGGAAGGCTTCATTCATAACCTTCCGCCAATGCCTCCATCACAGGTTGCATTGGCGTATTGGTAGCGCGCTTGCCTACCAACTTTTTAACATTTTTTTGCCTCGGGTTCGAATCTTCGCGCTGGCTAACCGTTTGCTTTTTGGTTCTTGAACCCGTTATCGGCGCATAAAATTTTAATTAGCAAAAAAGCAAAAAGTTAACGATAAAGAAGAATCGAACTTGTGGCAAAAGTCCAAAAAAACTTCGTAGGCCGAAGCACTAGCCACTTGGCCATGTCTAGGACGGGATCCAGGGCGCGTGAAGTCCCCATGTGGCAGGGGCGGTCGACCGCCGCAAATCACCCCAAATCACCTCAAGGGTCCGGATACCGGGAACGTTTTTAATTAAATTGAATTTTCTAAAACACCTTTATCGATCAGCACTTTTTGAAAATGGTATGTTGCTCAGAATTTTTTTCTCTATCGAACTAGCTAGGTCCCGTCCCGAAACTCCAAAAGCACCTAAAAACGACTCCTTGTAAGCGAAGCCTAAGCCTAATCTAACATAAGCCGCAGCCTATGCCCAAGCTTAAGCCTATTGCTAAACTAAGCCTATGCGAAGCCTGAGACTAACTTGTAATACGATATTTCCCATAGATTACCATACTCCAGCTCCACTCCTGTCAGTCCCCTTTCAATTGAATACCCCATAAAAGTACAAAAAGCACCCCTTCTTCATTTTCAAGTCCCTTTCCAAATGCCAGGGTTTACGGTCAGTGGCGGGGTAAGATGAGGAGGAGACTCTTTGCATGGCTCGGCGCGCGAATTTGGCTTTATTGGTCCATAAAGGGAAGGCCGACAATTACCCACCCCCAACCAACCACAAACACCGCGCTCTTCTTCCCCTTCAACCTGCCGGCTGAAGGGTTCAATTCTGCGAGCATTGTCTTGGCAAAAAATGGCATGAAATTGTTTGGGGAATTACAGGGTTTGGGGCAAGCCGGCAGAGATCCCTGAGGAATTGGGCACGGTTGGAAGGCAGGCTAGCAGATATTTTTTAGGGAAATGGAGGGACTGGGCAGGCAGATTCTTTGGGGATTGGAGGGTTGAGGGCAGGCTAGCAAAGATTCTTTGCGGATTTGGAGGGTTGAGGGCAAGCTAGCAGAGATTCTTTGAGGGATTGAAAAGATTAGGGCAGGCTAGCAGAGATTCTTTGTGGATTTGGCGGGATTCGGGCAAGCTAGCGGAGAACCTTGCGGCATTTGAGGGGATGGATGGCAGGCTACAGAGATTCCTTGATGAAATGGAGGGACTGGGGCAGGCTGGCAGAGATTCTTTGCGGATTTGGACGGTTTGAGGCAGGCTAGCGGAGATGTTTTATCCATTTTCCGCTGTTGATCACAGCAGTCGCACTCAGCCTACCTCTCTCGCTCGCTCTCCCTCTCTCTCTCTCCCCTTCTCTCTCTCGCTATCTCTCTATCTCTCTCCCTCTCTCGCTCTCTCTCTCTTTCTCTTGCTCTCTCTATCTCTCGCTCTGACTCTCTCTCTCACTCTCTCTCGCTTTCTATATCGCTCTCCCTTTCGCTCTCTCTCTCTCTATCTCTCTCCCTCGCTCTCTATCTCTCTCTCACTCTCTCTCCCCCATATTCAGAATTTTTTGGCATCGACCATCTGGCATCTTTTGTATGTTTCATTCTTCCAATGGCCCGTGTTTCTGAGTCAACGAGGACGGGTAATGGCCAGCTATTGGAGGCGAGAGAGAGAGATAGAGAGAGAGAGAGAGAGACAGAACCATAGACGGTCGATCCTCCTCCTCCCCTCCTTTGATGATCGTAGAGACCAGTTTCGGCGCTCCTCCCCTCCCAATCGGATCACCCTCCCCCATTGCCAAGACAATACCGTACTCTCTGGCTATTACGAAACTGTCTGGGATACGGTAGTTGGTCGCATTATAGGGAGATTATTCGTTTTTAAAGCTTGCTAACTTGGATTTTCCCTTTTTCTAGTCTTTTTGCTCAGTTTTTCTAGTAGTATTTGTTTTTCGTTCTCTTTCCTTTGGTTCTCAACTGATTTTTGCGTTCGATGGAATCTTAAGCGATTCTATTACTATTAGTCTATCACCCGTATATTTTCCAGATGATGGATGACGAGCCGGAATGCAGTCATTCTCCAGACGTCCGAGTAGATGAAGATCCGGAAAAACGCCATCCCCCAGGTTCCCGAATTGAATCATTTTTTAAACATTTTTTCAGGTTTGACAGCCCACAGAATCGGACATCACTTCAACAGTCAAAGGATAAGCTCGAAGAAAGCGTGTTTTTTGCTATTTCTTTTCATCACTGGTGCCTGGGCCCAGGAATTCGGTGCCGGCTTCAGCTCTACACCACCCGCCCCGCCGGTGCGGATGCTACAGGTAAGCTTATAATCTTGTCGGCACAAGCTTATAACCTAAGCCTAAGCCTGAGCCCAAGCCTAAGTGAAGCCTAAACCTATTCATAGGCCTAAGCCTAACCCAAGCCCAAGCCTACGCGGTTCCTAAGCCTAAACCGTGCCCAAGCCTAAGCCCAAGCCAGCGAAGCCGAAGCCTGACGGAGCCTAAGCCTATGCCCAAGCCTAAGCTACGCCTAAGCATAACCTGAATCTAAGCCCAAGCCTAAGCTTAGCCTAAACCTACACCTGAGCCCAAGCCTAGGCGAAGCTTAAGTCCATGCCTAAGCTAGTTTATGCACGCCTAGGTCTAAACCTAAGCCCAACCTAAGGCAGAAAATCCATTTCTATCAAAATCCATTTACCCTTTCCTCCTACCCCTCTTGCAACACTTTTTCATACGGTAACGTGTCAACCATTTGATCCCGTCTGAATGGAGGGGGGCAATCTGTTGCTGGCCCCGGCGTTGCCTTGTCCCGATTCCGTGTCATTCCTCCTTCCCCCTTTTTTCGACCATTCCCTCCCATTGTAGGTGACAGCTCGATTGGAAACATTGGGCCGAGATTGCACCCTTTGCATACTAGCCACAATTCCCTCGACTCAGCCTGGCGTTCGGGGTTTAGCCGCCGGAAAATGGGCATAGGTTAGGGAATCCGGGTCTTAAAGGGACGGCGACGTTGCCTAAGCCTGAGCCTAACCTAAGCCTAACTTAAGTCTAAATCTAAAGGCTAAGCCTAGACTTAAGCCTAACCTAAGCCGGAGCCTAAGCCTAAGCCTAAGCCACCAAAGCCGAAACCTGAACCTGACCTAAGCCCAAGCCTAAGACGAAGATAAGAAAAGATAAGCCTAGTTCTAACCCAAATTCTACACTTAATTTTAAGACTAAGCCTAAGGCTAACCTAGCTTGGGAACGGCTAAGCCTAAGCCTAAGCCTTATAATAAGCATAAGGTTGATCCTAAACCTGAACCTAACCTAAGCAGAAGCCTAAGCCTAAGTCTAAGTCTAACCTAAGCCTAAGGCCATGCCTAAGTCAGGTCTAAGCCTATTTATCCATTTTTTCGTAGCTTAACCCGTTGGCTTTTTGCCAAATTGTCGATTGTCGATCGGCGCAGGCTTGCTTACCGTTATAACCTTCCAGGGTTGTCCTCCTTCCCTCCTCCATTCCCGCGGCTTCCGGCATGCTCAAATACTTTGCCGATCCCAGCCAGCGCTTGCTGTCGCAGCATATGAGGGTATTAAGGTGAGACCCTTGTCTTGTTGAAGAACGTAGCAAATGGGTCGCGGAAAAAACGCTGGATTTGCAGGACGCGCTCGGGATCTGTGAGGACAGGCTGCGATTTCATGCTTGGGATTGTTCAAGGATAGGGCATCCTCTGCTCGATCCGCCTTTGTTGAAACATGGTGAGAGAGCAAGAGAGAGAGCGAGAGAGAAAGAGAGCGAGAAGAGAGAGAGAGAGAGAGGGAGAGAGGGAGAGAGTGAGAAAGACAGAGAGAGAGCTAAGTATAAAGAAAACATCCTAAAGTTTTCAGCTCATCGTGAATCCGCCTTAGTCTGGGCCCTATCATCTGCCGGAGCCGCCTGGGGAATCGCAACCGCTTGTCTACAGGTGAACCTTGTGGTTTATAGTTTCTGGCTGGGTCTTTAGGTATATTTCGTAGAATGTGATTTGTAGTATGTCGTAATCTGCTTAATTCTTTTTTCAGGGCTGGCTCTCCGAGTGCGCCTGCACGCCGACGCCCGGCGAAAAAAGCGTGGGAGTGGAGCGGCTGCAGCTATGGAGTACAGGTAGTTTTAGGGTTTTAAAATGGACCTTAAGCGACAATAAATAGCTCATTCGCTAGTGAAAAAAATACTGAACATTATGTGGTTTCAAAAAAAAATATAAAAACTGGCTACGACTTTCGAGAAAAATTCCCAAGCTTAAAAAGTGTAAAAAGTTGCCAATAAAAGTTTTCTGATAAAGTAAATTGTTTCTAACTTTTTGAAACATGGATTTTGTAGAGAATTTTCCGGGCTATCTAATACCATCGATCCTTTTTGGTTTTTGTTATATATCAGGCTAAAAAAATCAATTTTAGTATGGGCTTGCCGCTACACGACGACTGTTCAGCCGTGGCGCCACTTATAAGTAAATTCTTTCAAATTTAGTCATCAAAATCTTACCGTATTTTCTGACCAACTTTTACGCTTGTATTTTCAGGGATTCTGATGGCCGGGATCGACGTGGTGGGCGTGATTTAGCATCCCTGAACCCGGCAAAAGTGGCAGAGAAGCATAATTTGAAGGCCGGGAGATTGGTGGGTCAAAAGGATTGGAGCTAGGACTTAAAATCGACATAAGTAAATAGAGATGTGTATTTAGTACTTTTTAGGCAATAAAGAAAACCGTGCTTCAATCCTGCAAGTGTCACGGAGTCAGCGGGTCGTGTCAGCAAAAAACATGCTGGAAACGGACGGCCGATTTGGATACGGTGGCCGTGCATCTGATTGATAAGTGAGTTGAGTTTCTCCCTTTCTCTCTCTTTCTCTCTCTCCCTCTTGCTCGCTCTCTGTATCGCTTTCTCCCTCTATCACACTCTCTCTTTCTCCCTCTCGCTCTCTCACTGTATAGCTCTCTCCCTCTCTCACTCTTCCCCCTCGCTCTCTCTCTCCCTCTCTCTCTCTCTCTCTCTCTCTCTCGTCTCTCTGTTTAAAATTCATATTAAATTCAGGTACCATCGAACCAAGACGGTAGCCGGCCAAGGAAAAGTAAAAAATGCCGATCTGCTGGCTTTTGAGCAATCTCCGGACCACTGCGCAGCGTAAGCCTAAACCCAAGCCTAACCTAAGCTAAGCCTAAGCCCACGTCTAAGCCCATCCTAACATAAGCCTATCCTAGCCTAAGCCAAGCCTATGCCAAGCTCAAGCCCAAGCTAGTTTTTTTAGACGAACGGCCTCGAATCGTATCTGCGGCTGGCGGAATGAAACGCATGCCCAGGGCGACTGTAATTCGTTGTGTTGCGGAAGAGGATATAATGTAGGTTTTCCGGATAGCGAGAGAGACAGAGAAAGAGAGAGAGAGAGACACCAACCATTCCAGGTGACCCACGAGGTGATCCCCGCCAAATGTGACTGTAAATTCGTGTGGTGCTGCCAATTGGTGTGCAAGGAATGTCTGCAGCACCGGTGGACGAGTACGTGTCTTTAGGGGCGTAGCGTGCTTTGTGCTTTTTATTGACTACTGTAGCTTTTGCGTTTGTTTTCTTGCCGATGATCCCAGTTCCGATATTCAACGGTCAATTACGGGTGTATTTTAACTTGCTGCGTTTTCAATAAATTGAAAAAGGAAATAATTGATGCAAAAATGAAGGTTATTCGCCGCGCGTGTGGGCGCGGGAATTGGTGTAGTAGCTGTCGTCTTCTTCCCTGAAAATTGGAAGTTGAAGTCAGGATACCTCAAAGAAAAAGAGAGAGAGAGAGAGAGAGAGAGAGAGAGAGACACACAGAGAGATAGATAGAGAAAGAGAGAGAGAGAGAGAGTGAGAGAGATAGAGGGAGAGAGTGAGGGAGAGAGTGAGGGAGAGAGAGAATGAGTGTGAGAGGGGAGCGAGAGAGATATATAGATACAAACTCTAACCTATACTCATCCTCCCCAATCTCCTCATAGTCCTTCTCAAGGGCGGCCATGTCTTCGCGTGCTTCCGAAAATTCACCTTCTTCCATTCCTTAAATGAACTTACGCTACAAACCTCAAAATCTACAGTACCTTCACCAACATACCAATGCACAAAGGCCCGCTTCGCGTACATCAAATCGAATTTGTGATCCAGCCGTGCCCAGGCCTCAGCGATGGCTGTCGTGTTTGAGATCATGCATACCTAGAAAGAGGTATAAATCGGTGTAAGCCTAAGCCTAAGCATGCGCCCACGCGTTCGTCTAACATACTCACCGATCGCGTCTGCTTTCCCAGATCCCCGCCAGGGACCACGGTTGGAGGCTGATAGTTGATCCCAACCTTGAAGCCGGTAGGGCACCTGGAATACGGAAATGTACAGTTTACGCTTACCTTAATCTCTATCTTTGTGTCTATAGTACACTTTCGGAACCAATAAATCCATTTGAACTTACCACTCGACAAACTGAACGGTTCGCTTCGTCTTGACGGCCGAGATCGCCGAATTGATGTCCTTTGGAACGATGTCGCCGCGATACAGTAGACAAACGGCCTGAAATGTTCTTGTAAATTCTCTCTCTCTCTCTCTCTCTCTCTCTCTCTCTCTCTTTCTCTCGCTCTCTCTCTTTCTATTACTCTCTCTCGCTCTCTCCCTCTCTATTTCTCTCGCTCTCTTGCTCTCCCTCGCTCCCTCTCGTTCTCTCTCACTCTCTTTCAATCCCACCATATATTTCCCCCTCCTCGGATCGCACTTCACCATCTGATGTCCCGGCTCGAAGCACGCGTTTGTCATATCAGCTACTGTATTCTAAATCAGGTTTTTTTGAGTTTTTAGCTTTGTTATATTGCTCTATATTCAAATTTAAAGGTATAGTGTCCATTAAAATGATTTTACCTGTTCATGAAAAGCCCTCTCCGCTGACACCAACGGCGCATAGGTCACCAGCGGAAAATGGATGCGCGGGTAGGGGACCTAAACGTTGCCCTAGCTACCGTAATCCTGGCTTTACCAAATTCGTCTGAAACTCGGTGAGGTCAACGTTCAGGGCGCCGTCAAAGCGAAGTGATGCGGTGATGGACGAGACGATTTGAGCGATTAGACGATTCAAATTCGTGTAGGTCGGCCTGAAAATGTGGTTTTCAATATTTTTTCTGTATAAGTTCTTCATGAAAATATGTTTAAAAAAAGATATAATTTGATTACTTACCTAGCCAAATCCAAATTCCTTCTGCAAATATCGTAAATGGCCTCGTTGTCCACCATAAATGTGCAGTCAGAGTACTCCAGCGTAGTGTGCGTCATTAGGATCGAGTTGTAGGGCTCGACCATTGATGTGGATACCTGAAGAAGATATGTAGAGAGAGAGAGAGAGAGAGAGAGAGTGAGACAGAAAAAGAGAGAGAGTTAGAGAGAGAGATAGAGACAAAGAGCGAGAGAGGCAGAGAGAGAGATAGAAAGAGAGTTAGAGAGAATGAGAAAAAGGGAGATCCAGAGATCGAGAGAGAAAGAGAGAGCGAGAGAACAGGATCGAGAGAGAGAGCGAGAGAGAGAGCGAGAGGGAGAGAGCGAGAGAGAGAGTGCGAGAGAGAGACCTGTCATTACCTGAGGTGCAGGGTATATGGCAAATTCCAATTTTGGCTTCTTGCCATATTCCATCGAAAGCCTTTCCATAAGCAGAGAGAGAAATCCCGAGCCGGTGCCTTAAAATTTAAACGCTAAGTTAAATTAATTAACTAAATCAATACTCAGAATTTGAAAAATCCTAAAATCAATTATTTTGTTTGTATTGCAGTACCTCCGCCAAAACTGTGAAAAACGAGGAATCCCTGAAGTCCACTGCAATTTTCGGCCAATCGCTTAAGCCGGTCCATCACCACCTGGAAATAACTATTTGCATAAATTGAAGAAAACCAAGCCACGCCCAAGCCTAAACCTAAGCCGAAGCGTAAGCCGAAGCCAAAGCTTAAGCCTAAGCCCAAGCCAAAGCCTAAGCCTAGGCATAAACCTAAGCCCAAACTTGCACAACTCCAAAAAATCTCAAAAATTACATCTATCATCTCCCTCCCGATCGTATATCGTCCTCTCGCGTAACAATTTGCCGCGTCCTCTTTTCCGCTCAACAACTGTTCGGGATGGAATAGGGTACGATAGGTTCCGGTGCGGACTTCATCTAAAAATTTTAATTAGTCTAATTTGAAAAGTTGTTAATTTTTTGAGATTTCGCTCAGATTTAAATGTCATTAAATTCGTAAAACTAGATTAAAGTATGTTAATGAAGCTGTTTTTCGGCTTATTAAAATATTCAATAAATGCCAATTTAAATACCTACAAAACGCCTTACCGACTACCGTAGGCTCGAGGTCGACGAATAGGGCGCGGGGCACGTGCTTCCCGCCGGCTGAAATATTGCTTTTTTAGGCGTAGGATTCTTTGGCACCTGGATTTTAACGGGTCTAATTAATAATCTATTTTATGAATTTTCGAAAGTAAAAAAAATCATAATTCGACACATTAATAGGATTTGGATTAAGAGGATTAACAGGAGGATTAACAGAAAAAAACTTGGCTCTGCAAAAGTCGGATTTGTATGTATAATAGACTACCTAAATTAACTTGATTTAAAATTTAAGCAAACAAAATAAATATTTTAGAAGTCGTTAGATGGGAATTAGGAATTCCGTGGGAGGAATTATGCTAATCCAAATCTAATAGTCAGATCTGAATATTCCACTCACCAGTTTCGGCGAAAAACGTTCCAAATGACTCGACCTCATCCTGCCCATCCACGTCATCGATCATCGTTCCATCTTAAATATGGTTTCAAGTAGCATGATTTTTATGGAAATTTTGGAAGCTTAAATGAATAATAAGTTTATGATTACCATACCCGGCTGAATACCATGCTCCAGGCAATACAATTCCCAGCAGGCATTGCCGATTTGCACGCCAGCTTGGCCGACGTGGATCGAGATGACTTCGCGCTGGAAATTTGCATATGGATTTTTTTAAAAAGAATGCGACAGCCAAAAATTGAATCGGCTCTAAAAAGTATTGGAAGTCAGGATTCGATTTCCAGATCTTCATGAATTTTTGCAATTTTTTAAAACTGAGAACTCTCTCTATCTCTTCCTTTCTCTCTCACTCTCTCTCTCTCGCTCGTTCTCTCCCTCGCTCTCTCTCTCTCTGTTTCTCTCTCCCTGTCTCTCCCTGTCTCTCTCTGTTTCTCTCTCCCTGTCACTCACTCACTCTTTCTCTCTCGCTCTCGCTCCCTCTCTATCGCTCTCTGTTTGTTTCTCCCTCTCTCTCTCTCTCTTTCTCTCTCTCTCTCTCTCTCTCTCTCTCTCTCTCTCTCTCGCTCTCTCCGTCTCTCGTTTTCTCTTTCACTCCCTTGCTCGCTCTCATTGCGACTCTCCCTCACTCTCTCTCCCACGCTCCTCCTCACTCTCTCTCTCTAGCTCGGTCTCTCACTCTCCCTCTAGCTCTCTCTCACTCTGGCTCCCATTTCAAATCCACCGTAACCTACATTCCCTCTATACGGCGTTGATGCAGACATTATGGCCGACATCACAAAGCTGATCGCGGATTATGGTAGCTAAGCACAATTTAGAATCGGATCAAGTAGGTTTCCGTAAATAGTATTGGTGCGTAGGGGTCAGCTGGTCGTTCGTCTCTGTCGGTCTGTCTGTGTGTCGATTTGTGTGTCCATTCCCCTGCCAGGGCGACGTTGCCTAGATGCGATCCATGGAGACAATGGCCCCTCCCTGGGCCAGCATCCCAGATGACTTCTACCCTCCCCTAAATGGCTACAGTTGGCCGGGGGCCAGGTGCGGGTTTGGGAGGGGAAAAGCCGACAAAAGAGGGTGGGTTGAAAGGTTTAGATGAAAGCGGACGAATTTGCAGATTTAAAATTCTGATTTCTACAAAGTCGAATTTTCGCATTATTTGATCTTAAAAGCAGCAGAAATTACTTTCCTATAAACTTTCCGCAAAAATTTCTGCTAGCTTGCCCTATTCCAGTTTTTCGAACCGCCCAAATACGAATAATTTATCAAATTGCACGGAGACAAAAAATGTGTATAGGAATAAGTTATGAAGATGCCGTGTTCACGCATTAATGGATGGTTTTTGAAGACGGCCTTCTGATGAGGAAGACGATGACGATGATCATAGAGCCGAGCAGGGAGGCCATTAGAGCAGCTGGGGCCATAAGGTCTTGTATCCGGATACAGTAGCCGGGGCCGAATGTACGGTCTTTACGTTTGCCATCCATGTCTGGAAAGATGGAAATGAGCTCTGCTAGCCTGCCCTCGCTTCCTTAATGATCCCTGCTAGACTGCCCTCACTTCCTCAATGATCACTGCTAGACTGCCCTCGTTTAAAGGGACTGTGACACTGGTGAGGAAGGGCTTTCTCACCAATTTGCGGGTCCAACACGTCGATATGCTGTGCCCTCACATCGATCTCCCTCGCCCCATCGTCTTGCAAAATTGTGTGTCGCTTGATTTTTCTGAAATTTGCATACAGTAGACCCGAATGTGACATCGTAATTTAATTATGCAAATTACTTGAAGCTCCTCTTTTTCTTGCCCTCCTTCGCCAGGTCGGAACATTCGGGGATCTGAAAAAAACTTGTAAATTAAAGTATAAAAATGGAGTTAAAATGAAATTTAATTTAAACAGGACTTTGAGTTAAAAGCTCTTTATATTATAAAAATATAATCCCGAATATACTAAAATCAACTATAATGATCGAGCTTTAACAATTATTCAAATTTTACCGGGCATTCTCCATCGTTAATCGACAACCTCACCGAGCACTGGAAATTCACGACGACCTGAAAAAAGCAACTTGTAGTTTGCTGCTTGCAGTTCATAGCCTGCTAGTATTAGCGTTGTTGCCTCGTACCTTGTCGGCAAATTTGAATGCGTGCGCTTCCTTCTGGGCGTGCAGCTTTCCGGGGCCGTACTCGAGATTGTCCAGCAAATACCGATCGATGGAGCATCTAAATTTCGGGGTACGGTCCGTGGGCAACTTTTAGAATCTAGTGAGGTTGATAGCCTACCCAGTTTCGTCAAGAATCTGGAATTGCGTTCCGGAGCCGTCTTCGACAAAGCATGTATGCACCTGCATACACCAGAGATCTGAAAGTCTGTATTTAGGAGAGCGAGGAGAGCGAGGAGAGAGAGAGAGAGAGAGAGAGAGAGAGAGAGAGAGAGAGAGAGAGAGAGAAAGAGAGAGAGAGAAGCGAGAGCGCGAGATCGAAAGAGAGAGGGAGAGAGAGACAGAGAGAGCGAGAGAGTTAGAGAGAGCGAGAGAGAGAGAGAGAGAGAGAGAGAGAGAGAGAGAGGTAGTTTTACCGGGAGCTGTCGATTCGCAAGTCCAAGAATGGAGCAGTTTACTTCCCACCGTAACCACATCGAGCGCTTCCTTCGTTTTTGGATCGACGACCTGGAAGCTCATTAAATTTAAGCAAATTTTTCGTTACCTCATATCGACACCGCGGCATCTCGGCGATCTCGGTGAACGGCGATAGACTCTAAACACAAAAATGAATGCATTACGCAATGGAAAAGAGGTAGCCGAAAACTACTACTACTACTCTTGTCTATAAAAAGAATGGCTTAATCGGAAGCCGAAGTGGCTGGCCCACTACGCGACACGCCAAAATACGCGAGATATCTCGTAGCAGTTAGCACCTAGGTGCATTAATTAACCCGATGCCCCTGTAATTCCACCAGTCAACAACCCACCGCGCCGGATACGGTAATCGGATAGGTGACCGTCTTGTCGGCTTCCATGTAGAAGCAGCTGATCTCGTAGCCCTGGTTATGGTAATTTTGCTCTCAGATATGTAACTTACATAGCCTTTTAGAGAAAATAAATAATATAAACAAATTGGCTATTTAGCCGCCAATTAGCATGTAAAAAAAGAAATAAAAATCACATACCCGATCGACTTTTGTAATAAATTCATCGTGGAAGGAGAGCATGATTTTCGTGGTGACAAACAGGCCGGCCGGGTCGCTCTGAAATAATAAAATTGATTTATAAAAAATGATAAATAAATAAAATAGCACAAAACTTGCTGATCTCGTCGTGACCACGCCGCATTTATTCTTGTCGATGATTATGTGAGGGCTCCGCGGATGGATCTAATTTTTAGAAATGTATTTAACATAATTATATAGGATTTTTATGGGGTTTTTTATGGAAAAATTCGAAGCCAATCTGATACCTTTTCTCTCGACACACAGTCCGTCTCATTTGAATGCCCGACGACAAAAATTCGGCCCTAAAACACGGGGTGTATTTAGTACAGTACTGTAAACCTGGAAATCGTCGTCGGTCAAGAAGACGACCTCGATAAAATCTTCACCACATTCCACCTCGGCTTTTCCTAAAAGGACGCTTTAGTTTTGGCCTACTTCTGATTTCTGCAAGATTGCCCAACTTGGTGTTGGGGGGTTTTACGTCATTTTTTGCAAAATTTGTGGAAAAAGTAGATTTTTCGCGGGGATCCGTGTCAGAACCGAAAATTAAGCTTACCGATTTGTCCGTTCGGTATCGGGATGGCTAGAGTAGTAGCGAGGAAAAATCCGATCCCAAGCCAAACGAGTCGGGCCGACCTTGGCTGCAGCATTCCTTTAAAAACAAAAATAATTAGTTATTAGGATGGTAATTACAGTATCAAAAATAGTAAAAATCGAAACATTCGAACCCTGAAAACGGGGTGAAGTAAAAAACAGCTTTAAGGCTGGGTGTAAGCCATCGATTCCTCAAAGATCTCTGCTCGCCTACCCCCCCCCACCGTTTCCTCAATGAACTCTGCCAGGGTGCCCTAACTTCCTAAATGGTATCTGTTAGCAAGCCTAACTTGCGAAAAGGTCCCTGCTAGCCTGCTCTAACTTGCTAAATGGGATCGGCTAGACGCGCTCGTCTTCAATGATCTCTGCTAGGCTGCCCTCGCTTCCTCAATGATCTCTGCTAGCCTGCCCTCACTTCCTCAATGATCTCTGCTAGTCTGCCCTCACTTCCTCAATAATCTCTGCTAGCCTGCCCTCTGCTTCCTCAAAGTTCTCCGCAAGCCTGCCCCGGTTAAAGGGATGGTGACAGGAAGGGTAGACCTGTTTTTCCTTGAATAACACAACAAGGGATTTATAGTACAGTACTGTAAATGGTAAAAATAGTAAAAATAGGAATCGAAAAACCGTTTCAAAACCAGGGGATCAACCATAAGACGCGTAGTAAGTAATCGGAGGCTCGATTCCGCGGCACTACTCGTTGCGAACTAGCCAGGGGGACTGTGATGGGGTGTATGTTGTATATGGATGGAACAGGATGGTGGCCGAGAAGGAAGAGAGGGGGCAAAATGATGAGAAGCCATGGAAGGGAAGGGCAATCACAGCTCTATCTAACATATAGATTGCCATTCCCCTTCCCCCTCCATGATTCCGCTCCCTTCCTCTTGCCACTCTCATTTCACCCGTGCATAGCATAACCATCAGAGGAGAGAGGGGAAGGGATGGCATTGGCAACATTGGAGAGTGGGGTATCCTCCTTCCTGCTTCCTGTTTGTTACAACGCCCGAAAAGGTGGGAAAAAGCTCCTGGAGAAACCGCCGGGGCGTTTTGACCTTTCAGGGTCATAGAGCGCGGATAGTAGCTTTAATTTTGTATCGCTTCGTACGTAGTAATTAAACATACTTCAAAGCTAAATTTTAGCGTTATAGAGTTAAAAAGAGTTCAAATTACGTAACTTAAAAATTAGCGCAGAATAACCCCACATTGCTATTGCGCTATTACATTCGGTTATCTACGAATCCTGAGCCTAAGTAAATGCCTAAACTTAAGCCTAAGTCAAAGTCTAAGCGTAAAACTAGACCTAAAACTAAGCCTGAGCCAAATCTGAGCATAAGCCTAAGCCTAAGCCTATGCCCAAGCTCTAGCCTAAGCCTCTCGATGGCCAGGATTTAATTTATAAGTCGTTTTCGTTTTCGACAACCTTTTTTCTTCCGACGAATCTCGTGTGGAACGACATCTGACTGATCGTCCCGTGGATGGTTTTGGATTCGCTGGAATAGGGCATCCTCGAAACAGAGTGAGACCTCTCGACTCCGATAGACACCTATCACCGCTGAAATTGACATTAGGAATCTGGGTCTGAATCGTGTTCCAATGATCAAGGAACATCTTGTGCCAACCGGCGGTGGTTAGGGTCAGGCCCGTAGGAAGGTGACAGGACTTGATACCTTGCCAAAAAAATTTTTTGGAGTTGCCCCCCCCCCCCCAAAAATCGGGGATCGCTACGGCCCTGGTTAGGGTATCTGTAAGTCTCACTCATCCCCTCTCTCTCTCTCAGCCTCTCTCTCACTCTCTCGCCTGCTAGCTCGCTCTCTCGCTCTCTCTCTCTCTCTACCTCTCACTAGCTCGCTCTCTCTCCCACCCGATCCTTTTCGCCAGTTGAGGCAGTTTTTCTTTTTTTTTTTCTATTCTTTATGTCTTCATACCTTTTCTGTAAATTCTGAAAATTTCAGAAAACCTTTGAATTTTTTGTAATTTCTGACCGCTAGGCCATGGCTTGTAAAGATCAGGTGGAACGCCTCAAAATAGACCATAGCCATAAGTGGAAGCGTTATCAGCGTTATTCAATGTTAGGTTAAGCCTAACAAGCCTAAACCTAAAAGTAAACCCAAGCCTCAGCCTAAGCCTGAGCCAGCCTAAGCCAAGCCTAAGCTTCACCCAGGCGCAACCCAAGCCTAAACGGAGTTTAAACCTAAGCCCAAGCCTAACTCTAAGGCTAAGCCAAAACCTAAGCCTAAGCCTAGCCGAACCCTAAACCCAAGCCGAAGCCTAAACATAAGCATAAACCCTTGTCTAACTAGGGATGCCTTCCAACTTACCATCGAGTTTCGACTTGAAAATTGGTGAGCTTATAGAGTTTGAGCTCGCGATTCCGATGCGCTAAAAATTTTAACAAATCGTCCATAGGCGGCTGAGATATAACAAGTTTAATTTTGGCAAAAATGCATGATTTTTGCGCGTGTCGTCCCCGCCGCCCCGGAACGGGGCGTGCGGAGAAGAGGCCTCTCTGGCACCCCTCCGGCATGGCAGCGTGGCCTCGAGGTAGAGCTCTCGCTTCGAAAACTTTTGGTCGGGGGTTCAATTCCGGCCACCAACTTTTTTTTGAAAAAACTTTTTAAAGCTTTTTGCCAAATTTTTTACCTGCATTATTATTTTGTATTCTCTGGCGGAATCAAAAGATCGCGGGCTGTGAAGATTGTCGAATCTGATAAAATGATATAGTTTCATAGATCTCTGTTCATAGAAATGCTCCAGAGCTTTTCCTGTGTTTCTTCATCCTTCGCTACAGCATCGTAAAACAATCGCAAAAAGTTTGGCAAAAAGCTTTAAAAAGTTTTTTCAAAAAAAGTTGGTGGCCGGAATTGAACCGCCGACCAAAAATTTTTGATGCGAGAGCTCTACCTCGAGGCCACGCTGCCATGCCGGAGGGGTGCCAGAGAGGCCTCTTCTCCGCACGCCCCGTTCCGGGGCGGCGGGGACGACACGCGCAAAAATCATGCATTTTTGCCAAAATTAAACTTGTTATATCTCAGCCGCCTATGGACGATTTGTTAAAATTTTTAGCGCATCGGAATCGCAAGCTCAAACTCTATAAGCTCACCAATTTTCAAGTCGAAACTCGATGGTAAGTTGGAAGGCATCCCTAGTAAACCAAGTCGAAGCAAAGCCTAAACCTAACCCTAAGCCTAAGTTTAAGCCTAAGCCCAGCCTAAGCCCAACCTATGTTATGTAGTTTCCCTCCATTCGTGCTCTCATCCCAGGCCCTGGAATGTCAGCCAGTTCGTGGAAGTCAGAAAGATAAGAAACTGCTGGAAAACGTGAGTCTCCCCGGAAGAGACGGACCCATATCTCATTGTGGTTGATTAGAGAGGGAACTATTCGCAAATTATGTGAATTAAAAAATTCTTCTTTCAAATGACAAAAATATCTCTATCTAAATAATCTCTAGAATAGAGAAGAGAGAGAGAGCGAGAGAGAGAGAGAGAGAGAGAGAAAGAGAGCGCAAGAGAGATAACGAGAGAGAGCGAGAGAGAGAGCGCGAGTGAGAGAGAACGGGAGAGAGCGAGAGAGAACGAGAGAGAACGAGAGAAAGAGAACGAGAGAGAGAGCGATTTTTACTCTAGACGATTTGAACACAGCGTTGCGCAAAATTATTGGATTTTACGGTGGATTTCTACCTTCACGACTCCTTTAAAACGCCTGTAGTATCGGGGTAATAATTTTCCCCGGGCCCTTGATGCCAAATATGGCGTGTAGTCGCTCTTTCAACTCACTGGAATGCATACGAATGTTTTGGGAACTGGCGCGGGAGAGAGAGAGAGAGCGAGCGAGAGAGAGAGAGGGAGAGAGGGAGAGATAAGGCACGAAAAATTAGGCATACAGCATCTGTGGTTGATTGCAGCCACCCCACAAAACGGTTCACAGAATTCGACACGGCCAACACCACCAATCCCGCCGGGGGGATATAATTCCATAATCCCCGTAATCACCCCCCGTTCGAGCCTTCCCCTTTTTGGGGCCGCACATTCCAATGGCGTTGCAGTACCGCCGGTACAGAGGAGCGCTTCGTAGTCCCTAGCTTGCTGGCTACATAATATTTACAAGTGGCTGGCTTGGGTTGGGCAATCGGCTTGAGGATGACATAAATAATAACTGAAGAAAACATAAAAACCGGGGCAAACACCTGAGGCTAAACCTAAGCCCAAGCCGAAGCCTAAGCCAAAACTAAGCCAAAACCAAGCTAAAACCTAAGCCTAAGCCTGAACCCAAGCCAAGCCAGAAGCCTGTCACAGCTGAAGCCTATGCATAAACCTAAACCCAAGCCAAAGCGCAAGTGAACCCCAACTATAAGCCCACTCCCAAGCTAAAGCCTAAGCCCAAGCCTAAGCCTACGCCGAAGCCTATGGCTAAGCCGGTGCGTAAGTTAATTCTAAGCCTAAGCGAAGCCCAAGCCTAGGCCCTAGCTTAAGCTTATGCCGAAGCCTAAGCATAAACCCAAGCAACCCGAAGTGAAACCTACGCCTAAGCCTTCTCCTAAGCGCAAGCCTAAGCCCAAACCCAAGCCCAAGTGAAGCCTAACCCTAAACCGAAGTCTGCGCCTAAGCCTAGGCCGAGAATAAGCCCAATCCTTAGCCTAAGCCTACGCGTAAGCTAAGCCCAAGCATATGCTTAAGCCTAAGCATACCTCTCTCTCTTTCTCTCCCTCTCGCTCTCTCTATCTATCTCTCTCTCTCTCTCTCTCTCTCTCTCTCCTTCTCGCTTCTTCCTTTCCTTCTCTCGCCGATCTTCGATCCCCACTTGGCACCTATTTTCCGGGGGGTTTTCAAAGATCGGCCCAATCAGAACGGCCTGACATTTGAGGCTAGAGAAGATAGAGAGAGAAAGAGGTGAGAGAGAGAGAGGGGGAGCGAGAGAGAGACAGTGAGCGAGAGACAGACAGCCATACAGACAGACAGAGAGTGACATAGCAGCACTGATATCGTGCCGGACACGCTAAAAACAAACTGCACTCGACTGCCGGCTCCTGCCAAAAATAGTGGTTAGTAAATAGCCGCCGGGC